CTAACGAACTATTTCGTAATCCCATTATTTCGTTTAAGGCCTCCTTGTAGAATGGGGTTTTTCCTGTTAACTTCTGCTTGTCTAGCAGGCATGCGCAGATCGCGCGCTAGCCCTGTCTCTCTTACTCCTTTACGGACGCTCTATAAAAAAAAAGAATTTATCAATCCTGACGATCCTAATCAGGATAATGAAAAGTTTTTATCAAATTATTGCATTGTCATCGGTCCTTGAGAAGTATGCAAAGTTTCAAGCTTTTTAGATATTTGGAAAACCTTGAAAATTGTTTTCAAAGATTTCGTTACATACATACATACATACATACATCCCGAACTAATAAAAGCGTATTTATACATCCCGAACTAATAAAAGCGTATTAAAAAAGGAAACAAACACATTGATATACAAATGTATACAAAAACAGTGGAATACAGCTGTTTCGTTTGCCTCAGATTCATCGCATTTCCTGCAGTTGCCGTTGTTGGTGATGCCCAGCTTGACTGCATGCGCGGCAGCCAGGCAGTGACGCGTAAGCATTCCACTAGATGCAGTTTTAGTGGCTGCTAAAACTTTACTTGCCTCTCCCAAAGTTATATTGCAGTTTTGCAAAGTTTTGAATGCATAATTGATATCGTTAAATACACTGTGTAAAAAATTCGAAAAGCAACATGAACTCGAAATTTAGCATTTTTATTTTATACCTTCTGATTTATTACGCTTATCTTTGATAATATCAATATCGGATTGACCTAACTGGACCATCTAGTCGTTGATGAATAATAAAACGCATATATCACTAACCGTTAAATTAAGCATACTGTCAATTTGTAATATATACAAAACTGTAATTTAGGGAATTTCCTATGTATAACTTTCGAATTTCTCTCAGCTGAGTTGTCATTATTAAAGTGGGGTTGCATGTTGTCATTTATTTTGAAAATGGGAGAAATTTTCAAAAGTTCAGTTCGATCGAGAATCGGAATTCGGAATCGAGGGCCCCTGAGCTTGAGGGTCCCGGGGCACTCTCCCGCCTAGCCACTGGGTAGCTAGGTCAGTGAATACAACAAATAAGGGATTTAAATGTGCGGGCCACAACTTGGGACGCACATAAACGACGCAGCGGGACACACATCCAAGATGTTTTTGCAGCCCTTACCTTATCTACAGCAAGGCAGGATGGGAGCCAACCATCGACCTGACCTTTGTCAGCCCGGAGTTCACGCGGAATATATACTGTATAGACACCGATCTGCTCACCCACAGTGCCCCACAGCCATTATCATACAGACGAGGAACGGTCAGTCGAGCCCACCTAACCGGCAAACTGCCAACAAGGCAGGCAACCTTAATAAAGCGGTGCTACTATCCAAAATGGATGCCAGCACTATCAGAGGCGGGGCAAATACCTGCGCGGATGGGCAATCCGCGAGGATTAAGGCAGCCTGCGATGCGGCGGGGAACTAGGAGATAGCCACAGCCAGAAGCAAGTGCTGGTAGCCGGAGATGCTTGCGAAGTTGAGGACGCCCTTTGTAAGACCACCTTGAGTCCCGCTACAGGGTTACGAAGATAACCCCCAAATTGGTTATCAGGGCAAGCAAAAACAAATGCTTCCAAGGCCTCTGCGACGCAGCTAACCAAGAACAGTTCGGATCAGCCCACAAACTGGTTATGGGTAAGCTAACCAGAGAGCCGAACCTCCCAGGAGCAGCTAGCAATAGTCGCCACACTGTCCCCAGCCCCTGCCGGCTCTAATGCTACCCAACGTGACTGCGGGCGGACCGATCCCGACTTGCGATGACGAAGTTTTTGCAAAGCATCTACGGCCCCTGGATCAGACGGTATTCCCAAAAAAGCTTTGCACACTATAGTGAAGGCCTACCAGAGGCTATTGGCCCAGGTATCATATAGCACAGGTGCATCGTCTTCACTTCTGAATGGGCTCAATTACAATCGAGTCGAGCCCGGCATCAAGTATCTTGAAGTCCTGATTGACCCAGGCTAGCCTACAAGAGTTACCTAAAGTACGAAGCGGTCATCGTGAGGATGATTGCCAACACCCGTTGCATTAGGCAGCACAGCAGACGTCTAATAGCAACAGTGGTAACCTCGAACATACCATATGCCGCGCCGATATGGGGGAATGTTATTTTGACTGCGAGGTACAGCCGACAATGCAAGTCGGTGTATATACGCTGCGCAATGCGAATCTCCATACATTTGCACGGATGTACGGAGCCGCACTGTTGGTAGCCAGAATAATCTCCACCGACCTATTAGCAGCGGAGCGCAGGACTTGCAGCTCGGGTAGTGGAACCCAACTGAGCGACACTGTCTCATGGTGGAAATGGAGATGGGATAATGCGAGCATTGGACGCTGGACACAAAGACTTGTTCCCGAACTGGACCCATGAATACACAGGCGACACGGGCAGGTGGCAGTTCATCACAGGCCATGAATGCTTGAAGGCATACCTTCGTAGATTAAAGCATAAGGCTGAGACGCCGGGAGCATATCCGACGCACTGACGGCGAACGATGGACGACAACCTGAACGCCAGCCGTCCCCGCGAAGCATATCTTTGTGGCAGTCCTAGTTCTAGGTAAATTTGTATATTTACTCTATTTACTTAGCTGCCCTTAAAAGTCCTAGAACGCCAGTACGCAGCAAACAGAAAAAGAGCAACGAGTTCATAAAAAAGCAAAGCTCCTTATGTAAAACAAACATCTACAATATATAAAAATGCTCTGTTCGTGTCTACTTCCTTAATAGACTTGAAAAGTTCTAAACCGTTTAAGCCCAAGTTTTGACACAACATGCGATGAGGTTCCAGCTCGGTTATTGCCTACTTTTGATGTTGATAGCTTATCTGCGTTTGCGAAATGTCTTCACTTGTTTATAAGTACATTGTCGATATGAATGCAAAAATTGAAACAGAACGTTTGCTGTTCCTCCGATTGAATCAGAAGAAACTTCGGTCCGAGGAATATATCCATTTGCGGGATGCTGTGATGAATGACCGTAATACAACCAACGTTGGATTTTCACGATTTTGCCATCCTTATACATAGGTAGTCCACGCCACATGGAGGAATATGCTTGGCGTTTGCAATGACCATTAATAAAGCTCAAGGTCAATCTCTGGAGTTGTGTGGTCTAGATTTGGATGCAGATTGTTTTTCACACGGACAATTATATGTTGCGTGTTCTCGTGTCGGAAAACCATATAGTCTTTATATTTACGCGGAGAATGGAAAAACGAAGAATATTGTATACCAACAAGTATTACAGAATTAAATGAATTTGTATAGTAGTATATATATATATATGGAAGCAATTATATGATAGTAGTTTATTAAAATGGCTCTAGCTTCGCGGGCTGCACCGACAGCGGTGCGGCTGCCAATATACATGATATGAGGGATTTTATGTAAAAGGGCAAGGCTTGCAATATGGGAATATCTTCATTAGCAGTAAGCACCACCGTCGTTTGCACTTATAAGTGCTGATCCCTTAAGTTTAATGTTAAAACTGATACATTTGGATACTCTGTTATTCCTGTGTTTATTCGATATACATATCCGCATTATACAGTTTAATCGTATAATTTATATTTGTTAACGTTTGGGTTTCATTCTTTAATCATCGAAAGGGGCCTATTTGGAAAAATTCAATTATATAATAAAAAAAGTATTCAAGATTCACCTTCTACCATATAAAGTATATGTATTCCCTTCAGTACCAAAATTCCTTTCCTGTCCGATTCCTGGTGTCATGTTCAAAAAACAAAAACAAATCTCATGGGTTTCGGTTAAAGAACTCCGAAACAAAGTAGGCAATGAAAATTCCACCTGTGTTCGGATACTGCCAAACAATTAATTGTTGTTTTGACGGGACTCGGAGCAGTGGTTCCGAAATTAGATTGAGATGATGAAAAATATTATTGAACGCAATTAAAAGAATCGATAGTCTCGTTAGTGAAATCGATTTTCACAGCTCTAATGACGGCTGAAGTATTCACAAGTTTTTTGCAATGTAATTTATGAAATATTGTTGACGCCGATCCAAATCCCGGGAGTTGCCATCTAACACCTTTGCTCCACCGAAACAAGAAATACCAGATCCTGTAGCGTATCCAACACTCTGACTTGAAGTGTGGTAATGAGCTTATGAGTCGTGGTGTTTTATTCTGTTGAGGGGTAGTACAAACTTAGACTTTAACCTCAGCAACCGTCTGTCCGTTCCTACGCAAACTAGTATCTCAGTTTTCAAGCTATCTGAATGAAACCTTACAGTTAGTCTTTTATATAGTCTCACTCGTATATATGCCGGATCGAACGACTATATCATATAGCTGGCATAGGAACAGTTTTTCAATAGTTTTTTTTTTAAAACCATATAGCTGCCATACAAACGATCAATGGATAATGTAAAGCTGTAAATATACCCTGCAGTACCGCATGTCATCAATGGGTCACTGTCATCAACAATCATCATTTTGATGAATTGTTGATGTACTTTTGATGATTCATCGATAAATTGTTGATGAATTGTTGATGAACTGTTGATGAATTGTTAATAAATTGTTGATGAACTGTTGATGAATTGTTGATGATTCATCGATGTTATATTGTTAATGAATTTGTTGATGATTCATTGATTAAGTGTTGATGAATTGTTGTTGATGACAGCCTAGGACATGCCCATATTACATTCATAAACAATTTATATGACCATTCATCGATGAATCACCGCCTTGACTGTTGATGAATCGTTGATTAATTAATGAAGAATGGTACTGCAGGATAATGTAACATATATATAGGTGAGTGAAATGAAAGCAGGAATTACTTAAGTGTTTTTAATATAAATATATTTAATTTATATTGTATTAATTCCTAGTGATCGAAGTTCTATCTACAAGGGTATATAAAGTTCGGCGTGTCGAACTTTGCTTCTTTTCATGTTTTTTTTTTTTTTGTTATGATATAAATTGATACATACCTAAAAAAAATTTTATCCCCAATTTGTGTACACATAATGGCAGCCAAAAACTCGTAGGAATGCAAGCTAATCCAATAATGAACGTATGAAGATACACTGACTGATTGATTTCCGTTTCGCAACCTGTAATAGTTCTGAATAAAACGTAAGAAATTTTATTATCGAATTTTATGATGTTTGACCTTAAAAATAAAACAAATATTTATAAAATTATATTAAATAATAATTTTAAAAAAGTACAAAAGCAATTGATGAAACAGTAGTTAAAGTATTTGCCTTAATTTTAAATATATGAATTAAATCTATACAAATTTTTTTCCGAATCTTTAATTTCTATACAATTGGAAAGTACTATTATTTTCGTTATTATACCCTTGCAGGGTTTTATAATTTCAGTCAGAAGTTTGCAACGCAGTGAAGGAGGCACCTCCGACTATATAAAGTATATATATTCTTGATCAGGATCAACAGCCGAGTCGATCTAGCCATGTCCGTCTGTCCGTCTGTCCGTCTGTCCTTCTGTCCGTCTGTCCGTTTCTACGCAAACTAGTCTCTCAGTTTTGAAGCTATCTGAATGAAACTTTGTAATTAGCCTTCTATATACTCTCACTCGTATATATGTCGGAACGGGCCGGATCGGACGACTATATCATATAGCTGCCATAGGAATGATCGGAAAATTTTTACAAAAAAATTGAACTTTTCAGTTTTCAATAGAATTGGATCAAATTTGAGATATAGCCATTTTACTATACTCTACAATTTTGCATAAAATTTTATGAAAATCGGACTAATATATCATATAGCTCCCATAGGAACGATCGAGAAATTAATACAATTAAATTTATAACCTTTTCAGTTTTCAACTGATTTTCATCAAATTTTAGGTATAGGCATTTAATTTAAGTCTTAAATTTTGTGGTAAATTTCATGAAAATCGGACGACTATATCATATAGGTGCCATACAAACGATCGTTTGATGTGGAGGAAAAATGCAAATCAGTGAATGTAAAACTGCAAATATAATATGTATAGGTGAGTGAAATGAAAGCAGGTATTACTTCATTGTTTTTTAACACAAAGATATATAATTTGTATTGTATGGTTTTTTATTCATAGAAGTTCTATCTGCAAGGGTATATAAACTTCGGCGTGCCGAAGTTAGCTTCCTTTCTTGTTTTTTCTTGTTATTGGTCTCAATACTCTTTACCATAAACATCTTTAAGGGATCTAAATTACCACAAAAAAGTTTAAGAGTTCCTACGTAATAATACCTTCTTGTTCTGGGGGTATTCAACAATCCGGTGACCCTCTGCGCCACATATATTTCATGCTCTCGGCAATGTATCAGTCTCTCTTTCAGTGCCTTTTGCGTTGTAATTTAAGGAACAAGTCTCTCTGTTCGCTGAATCTGCTGATGCGATTAACTTATGTAATATCGCTTTGGACTTCCTTTCCCTGACTATAATGCACTTCTTTTAAGTTTTGCTGATAATCAAACACCGCGATGCATATCTGATAGGTTGTATATAGCCTGTATGCTGAAAATGCATAGGTATTTCTCTGACCATATTAAAACCGGGTGACGATAACTCGCAAGTTCCGTTCTGCCACTGTCCTGCAGTAACCAACTTTATAATAATTATCTCTGCCACCGGTTTGCTGTGGGTCGTTTATTATTCTTCTCCATGAAAAATGTAGCAAATCGAAAACCAACAATTATAGAGGAATCTCTAAGTTGTCGGCCATTCCAAAACATTTCGAAAACGTAAGAACTCCCCATTTGCAACACGTTTGTAGATCAGTTATTTCTCAATTTCAACAAGGAACGCCAGCAGCCTGGAATCAAATGTGAATGAACTACCTACTTATACATTTACCCTATAGCACAAAATTGTTAATTGCGGAGACATATTTACACCCTGGTGACAAAAACTTGCGGCCCGTTTAGGACATTTAGTTTTTGCTCCCTTGTTTTTGCAGTCGCGAGGCGATCGTGGCGTGTGGTTCAGGGGCTAGAACATCCGCCTTCCAAACAGGCTAGCGCTACTTTTTCTTAATTAATTTTTTAATTTGCTAATTCAATGAATTTTCTTTTTAAAATTGTAGTTTCAGTTAAAGATTAAAGAAAATTAAAATGAATGAATAACTTTGGTTAAATAAGATAAAAAATTATATTACCTTAAAAGTACACAAACTCTTGAAATATTAAGTTCATATTAATAGGTTTCTATTCTCTAGATATTTTCCGATTTTCATTTAGACGAATTCTACGTAGTTTGAAAAGCAAAAAGTAAATAGTTTCTGGGATTTTCTTTTTTTTTTCAGCGCACTGCGTGTTAAAATAAAAAATCCCGAAAGGGAAATACCTCAGCACCAAAGAGTATACACAGTGGAAGATTCGTAACGCCATACGATTTATTTGCACACGATTTTGAACTGGCTCCAGGCTCTCTAACGTTTCGTTCAAAAGCCAGCGAGAGAGCGCTCCACAGCTAGACGCTCTCTCGTGTTGGCTCTAGACTCTAGAGACTCTCTCTCACGCATACAGCGATGTTTTCATGCTGGCTCTAGAGCCAGCTGCTCTCTCATACGCGTACAGCATCATGGCGTGCCTCAAAATACCGATTTCGCGATTGAATTTATTAAATATTTTCACATTTATTTTATTTTATTTTTAAATTTATGTGTTATAATATATTATCTCTTGGTCAATTGAATTAAATAATTGTAAATACATTTATAATTATAAATTTAAATTATCTTTTTTTTTTTGTTAAAATAGTAATAGTAATTAATGTATTGGAAATTCTCCATAAAGGTAACCACGGCCAAAAAATTAAAAGTTCCTAAAACGAGTATTTTTAACAAGGTTCACAAAAAATTTAACAGATTGATTGACATTAAAAGAATTTTTAATTTTCTAAAATAAATTTCTGTCGCGGGCGACCGGGACTAAAATTTAATTTAAAAAATAACTACTTAAAATTTTAAAATTAAACAAAATACATTATTAAGATAATTGATTGCATAATTTATTAATTAATGTCTTGGCACTTGAAATTGGAATTAAACCCTTTGTGTTTATATTTTTTGCATGACCTTTAAAAATAAAGAAAGAAAAATAGATAGATAAAAGGAATAAATAAAGGGATTCAAGCACTAAAAAATGTAAATAAGCTAAAATCAAAACAAAACAAGAAAGAAAGCTAACTTCGGCACGCCGAAGTTTATATTCCCTTGCAGATAGAACTTCTATGACTTGGAACCCCAACAATATAAATTATATTTATTTGTGTTAAAAAACAATGAAGTAATACCTGCTTTCATTTCATTCACCTTTACATATTATATTTGCAGTTTTACAGTCACAGATGTGCATTTTTCTCCACATCTAACGATCGTTTGTAGTGCCCCTATATGATATAGTCGTCCGATTATCATAAAATTTTACACAAAATTTAAATGGCTATACCTCAAATTTGATGAAAATCAGTTGAAAACTGAAATGTTATAATTTTTAATTGTATTAATTTCTCGATCGTTCCTATGGAGCTATATGATATAATAGTCTGATTTTCATACAATTTTATACAAAATTGTAGAGTATAGTAAAATGGCTATATCTCAAATTTGATCCAATTCTATTGAAAACTGAAAAAGTTATAATTTTTTTTTGAAAAATTTTCTGATCATTCCTATGGCAGCTATATGATATAGTCGTCCGATCCGGCCCGTTCCGACATATATACGAGTGAGAGTATATAAAAGGCTAACTGCAAAGTTCCATTCAAATAGCTTCAAAACTGAGAGACTAGTTTGCGTAGAAACGGACAGACGGACAAACGGACAGAAGGACAGCCGGACAGACGGACATGGCTAGATCGACTCGGCTGTTGATCCTGATCAAGAATATATATATACTTTATATGGTCGGAGGTGCCTCCTTCACTGCGTTGCAAACTTCTGACTGAAATTATAATACCCTCTTCAAGGGCATAAAAACACATCGATATGCATATGTATACAAAAACAGTCCAATACATGTTTGAGATCAGCTTTTTCTGCTGCCATTCTCTTTACCCTCTCTACCTATATAAAATATAAGTATAAAATTTAAATTTTTCGTCGATGCGCTTGCGAACAGAAGCACACACATATTCACGCACACTTACGTACTTGTAGGGAACAAACAAAGCAGTACCATTCATCAGTAATAAATCAACGATTCATCAACAGTGAAGGCGGTGTCGTTACTGATTCATCAATTAATGGCCATATAAAATGTTGATGAATTTAAAAAATGGGCATGTCCTAGGCTGTCTTCAACAACAATTCATCAACAATTATTCAATGATTCATCAACAAATTCATCAGCATTCATCAACAATTCATCGATGATTCAACAACAATTCATCAACGGCCGGGCCGTGGTCCTGCCGACTACTGCCTTCTAGACTACCGTCGTAACTGTATCGTCGGTAGAAGTCGCAGTCGGCGCTTTGATGCCTGTTGATGACAGTGACCTATTGAAGACATGTGGTACTGCAGAAATGTGGTACTGCAGGGTTCTGTGTTTACTCAGACATGCAAACGCATTCTTTTTTTAGATTTTTAAGCTCTCAACTTTGTGAGAGCAGGGAGAGCGCCATGGTCGTTTGAACCAAAAAATTAGTCCCATCTTGCAAAACGAATGTATGGTCGTGAGGCATCTTGTAAACTGTATAGTCTTTGTTTGGTGCTAACCTTTGTCTCGAAAGACTGAAGCCCTTTAGGAACTGTCTGAATCGGTTTCATATCCTATCATCATATCTAATGTCCGATACCTCTCATTCAGGAAGGTGTTCATTTCCTCCCAAGCTGGTATTTCGAATTTCGCAGTGAGGGAACGTTTCCCATAAGGACAGTGTTACCTTTGCAGTTTGCTCGCGCACAGGAAGACCAGCAGACAATCCCTGTTCTGTGGATATTTGGGAGCGCTGTTAAACACCCCTGAATCGTGGACTGAACCTCCTTTAGAGCTTGATCAGATTCTTGAGAAATGGAACTGAAATTTAAAGGAGCTTGAGTTGACTGTTGACTAGAAGTCGCCGATGCGAAACCGTCATCTGTTAGCGGGGTTTTTGAGAC